GAGAGAGAGAGAGAGTGAGTGTGCGTGCGTGCCTGTGTATGTGTGTGTGTATGCGCACAAGTACGTGTGTGCGTGTGCCTACGTATGTGTGTGCGAGTATGCGTGTGCGTAAAGAAACTTACACCATACAGTAAACATAATTAATTCACTAGTAGGCCAACCCTCATCCAATCGCAGCCAGACGTCCTGCCACAGAGCGCGGACTCCTAACTATAACAACTGGGATCTCCCGGGAACGCGAATCTACCCGCAACACACCTGAACCCGAGGACCTTGCCATTATCATAAACTTCACGCAAACCCGAGGTTGCCTGACCAGTGGACACGGTCATTCGCGCGGATAGCGTTGGGGTACCCATAGCGGGCCGGATTGACTTCGCTCAGTCGTGACAAGTTTTACAACTAGCAAGCTACAATGCTTTCGGTGGAAGTGGTATGACTGGGTCAAAGCCAAAACAGTCTTGCCTGAACTGTGACCACAGCACACATTCGATGAAACTGATGAGAAATAGTTTTCTTTTCTCTCTGTTGTTCTGAGTCTCGATCTCGATAGAGAGTGAAAGTAGCTCTGTTTTGTGAAAATAAAACCGATTTTGAGACATAACAACCAACCGGATTAGCTGTACTCGTTGAAGGTAAGTTATTAACCACTATTTACTTTGTAGGCTCTATTACCGTTAACTGTGTAAGGGCCTCCTTGGCAACAGCAGGAGTAGGACAAGTTTCTCTCTCTCTCTTTCTCTCTTTCTCTCTCTCTCTCTCTCTCTCTCTCTCTCTCTCTCTCTCTCTCTCTCTCTACCCCTCCGTCTTCCGGTTCTGTTTCTATCATGTGAGTTGGTAAATACGTGGGCCGTGTATTTTTTAAAGAAAGAAAGTAATATCACGCAGTGAATGACACGCCTTACTAGCTAACATGGAAATAATACAGGTGTGGACAGGGGGAGAATGATTGTATTCGGTATCGATCAGACGCAGATGAAAAACATTGTTTGTGTGCGGCTGTTGTGTGTTCTTCAGTGGTTTACTCCTTCCATTCTATCAAACTTCTATAGTTTTTATCTCTCCTACTTTTTTCTTTATATACACATGTATGTTACTCTCAAGTAACACTTCTAATCTTCGTCACTTATATGCTACCCACTACCCATCTGTGTTGCAAAGTGCCATAAAGATTTTACTTAAACTTACTAAATTCAATGAAGATAATGTTTAAAGTTACAAGGCAATGTTATATTCAGTTCATGACCCATTGCCACGGCTGCATTTATTATGACTCGTTTAGTTCCCTTCCCCTATAAGTGAGCGTATTCTGGCCTCTGGCTGCACTGGTGTTGCAATCCGGATAAAGGGATAAGTCATACCAACGTAATCTGTGATCTGTAGTATTGTAATAATAATTCTAGCTTCTGCTCTCCCAGAGAGAGCAGTAACGACTGCTAAAAGTGTACCACTAGCTTCTGCTCTCCCAGAGAGAGCAGTAACGACTGCTAAAAGTGTACCACTAGCTTCTGCTCTCCCAGAGAGAGCAGTAACGACTGCTAAAAGTGTACCACAGTATGGTGAGGTTTTGGCTTGCATGCAAAAGACGTGGGTTCGATTCATTCGCGAAGAAGATTATTTGTCGAAAATATTCATCTTCCAGCTGAGTTTAAACACACACTCTGTAATCAGATATCTATTAATATGTATTGGGCGTGGGGGGGTTTTCTTG